CTCACACACACACACACACACACACACACACACACACACACACACACACACACACACACACACACACACACACACACACACACACACACACACACACACACACACAGGATGGGGGTCTCACCGCTGCAGGGCTGAGCGTTGCAGGGACGGCCCTCTTCCAGCACCCCCTCACACAGGTACGACTCCTCTGCTGTTGACTGACAGGCCCGGGCCCGGGTTTGAATCCCGCCTCCGCACTCGCTGCTGCACCGTCTCCACTGCCCCCACACACTCCACCCACCTGAAACACACACAGCAGCACTGCATTCAAGGGTGACCAGAGAGTGCACTTTCTGCATCAAATCGGTTAAAATGTTGTTACATGTCTACTGCAGGAGCAATTTTGGCGTATCTTGCATTTCCAACACGTTTCTAGGGATGATGATCGGACCATTGACCCTCCAAATGGTAGACATCAATTCCCCCTGAGCAGTGGTGGAAAGTAACTTAAGATCTCCTATCATGCTATTTTTAGGCATATATTATGGATCTTAGACATATGAAAATATATAAAAAACCTGTCTATGATGGTTTTGCTCAAAATACCAAACAGATCATGCTTTTTAGACATCCCTCATATCCCTCTATTTCAGCCCTGTTAGGGAAGTGCTGATTCTGGGTCAGTAGCTGTTGGCCCCGCCCCCTTTTGAGCATGCAGGTAAGCTGTGAGTTGCACAGGGAAGATAATTTTCGACTGGCAGATTCAGCTAAATGCTGCCGTGATTAAACGCCATATCATGTTCCAAACCACAGGATTATTTCTGAAACAGTATGGAGCTCAAATGCTTTTTTTCTTGCGGGTTTACTACAAGGTGAGTTCCTTTTTTTGTATCCTGCTTACACATAGCTACTCCCTCCAGTACAGGTTAGCTCTGAGTGTTAGCGATGCTTGCTAAACACAGACAATAATACTTCCAAAACACGTCGTGCTTTGATTCTGATAGCGACGTTTCTGATAGGTCCGTGGGTGTAAAGCCAGCCCATATTTTAGTAATGTCGTCATGACGCAGCAAATCTGGATCAGCTCCGTTGTTCCCCCGTTTTTAAAGATTTGGTTAAGGAGGAAAAGAGAGAGGGTTTTGTTTTTTGACACTTTGAGTCTCCTTACACACTGGGACACATATTTATGTATAAAAGACATTAAAAAGTGCATTTTGCATAATATGTGACCTAAGTTTTGTATTTAGGTAAATGTACTTCATTTAAGTTTTTTTCATATTATGCTACTTTATACTTCCAGTCCAATACATTTTAGCAGTACATATTGTAGTTTTGTACTCATTCCAATGATTAGAAAATATAATGGATGGAAACACCTTGCAGTCTAAAAAGTCATTAGTGTTCTCTTCTCCTGAAAATGTCAATAATAGATAGATAGATAATCACTGATTATAAACTAATTATAAGACATATTGTTACCCTCATAGCGTAATTGCAAGTCATATTTTAAGGTTTTCAGAAAAAGAAGAGAAAACACAGGAGCTGCTCAAGTGTCAGACTCACATGTGTGCATATAAGAATGTATGTTTTTAATTATTCATGTATCATCTTCTGACCCTCTTGTGTCACGCCACAGATTTATAATGAGGTTTTTTTCTCTAGTATCTAGGCCTGCATGTGTTTACTACAGGGATGAAACCTGATGTTAATACATTATACAGAAGTGCAGAGTTATTTTCCTTCATTCAAACTAACTTACCAATTGCATGCACAATTAATAAAAATCAATATGATGACCTAATATTT